TTCATGACATTAAAATTTCTGGAGATAATCACCTGCCCCCAGGGACCCAGCGTCAAGGGGCAGAAAATGAGCCCAGCCCCTGGTGCTGGTATTTACCCTTGTCCCTGCATTCCAGAGGTGGCTGGGAGGTGGCAATGGAAAGAAAACCAGGGTTCTCCCTGTGGTTTGCTTTGGCACCTGCACCAGGGTTTAATTTGGGTGTGCTTGGCTGAAAAACTGCTGCATCTTCTGCTGAGTGTCAGTGATGCCACCGAGACCTTCTGCCTGGGGCTACCCACCAGGATTGTGGAGGATGAGTTCAAGACCAGGCTGGATGGGGCTCTGAGAATCCTGGTTAGTGGGAGGTGTCCCTGCCCATGGCAGGGTGTTGAAACTGGGTGATCTTTAAAGTCCCTTCCAACCCAAACCATTATGTGAATCTGTGATTCTGTGATTCTGTGATTTTTTGAGGCTCTGACCTGCCTCATCCATCATGAAATAGTGGCCATCAGCTTCACATCCCAGCTCCTGGTCAGCGTGGGTGAAGGAGCTCAGCTGGGTGTGGCCACTGCATGAAGGATCCGCTGAATCCATCACATGGATAAGGGAAATTTAATTACATCCGTAAGATTTCCATCAATGCTCAGCAGCAGCAGGCTGGGTCTCAGGGGAGATTTTTCATTGCATTGAAATCTGACTTTGTTAATTACAAGTCTCCGATCTCATTTGATGGTTAAGTTTATAAAACTGAATCCTTATTTCTCTGATTTCCTTATTCAGCTGGTTTATTGAGTCTTGTACAAGGGATGGTTTGGACCTTAGAAACTCCCAAGGTGTCTTACACTTCTGGCACAAGCTGTGCAGAAGCACTGGAGCAAGGGGAGGTGATGGGGATGTGCAGAAGTCTGGTGAAAGCCAGAGAAAGAAAACACATCTCAGGAAAACTGAAAATGGGGACAAAGGTCTTGCTGTCAAACTATAGCTGGTTTTATCCCCAGAGGGAACTTTGTCTTCCCACATGGGATGCACCCAGAGCCCCCACCCCACCCAGCCAGGGAACATTGTGGCGGGGGGCTTTAGCAGAGTGACACCAGCCTTTGGTGCACCCCAGGCACTTCCTCATGGGGAAAGCTTCCCATCCTCTGTTTACCCAGGAAGCCCCAGAATTGGCTGTAGGCAGTAAGTAGAGTGCCTGGTTTTTATCTACACATCAAATTTACATTTTTTTAAAAAGAGAAAATAGCCACTGAACAGCCCTTGAAGCTTGGGGCTAGTGTCTAATTCCACTCAAAGAGCTTTGTTAGATAATTGCAGTATTTTTCTGAGAGAAAATAGAACAATCGAGGCTTGTAATTAAAAGCCATTCAGGCAGCTTTGATCCTGCTCTCTGCATCTTCACTTAGCAAACACAAATGCCAACAAGGACTCATGGAAATATTTACAGTCACTCTTCTTGGCCTTTGCCTTTAAATTAACTCCTCCTCCTGGCTTTGAGTCAAAAGGAGGAGTAGGGAGGAAAATGTGGCTTGTGGCTTTTCAATGGGTGCTTCTTTGGAAAAAAATTTTTGGAGGATGCCTGATAGCATAGAATCATAGAATCCTTAAGTTTAGAGAAGCTCAATGAGTCCAACTATCAACTCAGCCACACCACCACGTTCACCACTAAATCATGAAATGCCACATGCACAGGATTTTTAAAGCTTCCAGGGATGGTGACTCCACCACTGCCCTGGGAATCCTTTTCCAGGGCTCGACCACCCTTTTGGTGAAAAAATATTTCCTAGTATCTAATCAAACCTCCCCTGGCAAAACTTTAGGCCATTTCCCCTTGTCTCGTCACTCCATGATGACAAGCCTGGAGCTTCTCTGGAGGCCTCAGAACAAGAGTTTATCACCCCAAAACTGCCTCCAGGCACAATCTCAGCTCCAGTGGTGGTGTGGATGGGGCAAGACCCACACAGTCTGCCCTGGGCATGGACAGGGAGCAGCCAGGGCCATGTCCCACAGCCCACAGAGGATCCTCAGGTGACCTTCTGACTCACTGTGAGAGGGAACGCAGCCTGGGAAGTCCCCTTCCCTTCAGCAGCAGGTTGGAATGTCAAACCTTGATGTGCTCAGACCCTCTGAGGGCACCAAACTGGGCTTATTTCTCCCAGAACTGGCAATAAAGCCAGAGTGCCACCATTTCCTTGGGTTTATGGTGGGTGCATCAGTGGCTCAACAGCACCCCGGGGTTCCCAGCAACCCCAAGGAAACAATGTGAGTGCTACAGATGCCAGGCTGTAAAGAGAAGGGACAAATTCTCTTTCTTGGATTGATCTGAACAGTATCCTCTGGAGACCCTTCTTCTTCTCATCTTCAACAGTCCAAGTTTGTGCTTATCCATGTTTAATTTTTATTTTCATCTTTTTCTCGCATAAAGATGCTTCTGAGAGCCAGGCCTTCAACTCTCAGTGGGCTATGATTTCTTTTCTCAACCAAAAATCGTGGCCAGCCTTAGGGAGGCAGTGTGAGACTGTCTAAGACCCAGGGGATTAGAGCTTCCCGGGAGAACAAGCTGCAGCACATCTCGGATGAGGACAATTGATCCAAACAGCCAATATTGCTGCAGCACGAAGACTTAAAAAGCAACAACTGCATCAGATCCCCTGCCTTAGCTCAGATGCCTGCATTGAAAGCCTGCAGTGGGAATGGGAGCCCTAATTCCTGTTCTGGGCTAGGAAATGGCTCCCAGGGATGATGGAGCTGAGTCCTCCAGGGCTGTGTCCTCACGGGTGTGACAGAATGAGGAAGGCAATTCTTTCCTCAAGGAGCAAGCGGAAAGGCTTCAGCTCCTGCCGTGTCCAGGGAGCTGTGTGGCTGCACCGCATCTTTGCACCCATGAACACATCCCAGGCTGTCCCAAAAGGAAATTTCCCCAGCTTTGAGGTTGAACTGACTTCCCTGCTTCAGTGCATGGCTATCTGGGAAGGGTTTAGGAAGAGGAGGGAACTCCAAAGGTTCTTATTTTAGCCTCCTGCGACCCTGCAGACCCCAGATGGGATGCTTGCTTTAGGAGGGGATTTATTCAGTGAATCATTAATGGGGTTTATTCCACCCTCCCCCTGCTTCCAGTCTTCAAGATGCAGCTGATGTGGGCTGGTGTGACAAGCCAGTCCCAGCAGTGGGAGGAAATTCAAAGGAACGAGCTGGCATGCGGGGTATCCCTGGGGGAATCTTGTGCCGGGAGTGGGCAAGCGTCTCCTTGGAGGTGCTTTCTGCTCTCCCAGGAGGAGCCCAAGCAGCCTGGCTTTGGGTGCTGTGCTCCGAGGCTCTGCCCAGGCACAGGGAGCCCGAGTTTGCTGCAGGAGCGGGGAGCCAGGCTGAGTGTGAGGCTGAGCAGGCTGCGGGAGCTGCAGCCATGCCGAGCTGAGAGCAGAGAGTGCCTCTTAGTGCCGCAGGCCCGAACCACACCGGCCTCCTCCAGAGCTGGAGCCTCTCCTGAGCACGGGGGGAGACCCCAGGCAGTGCAAATCCTTCTCCCCTCGGAGCCTGGCACCCACACGAGGGACCCACGCTCCTGTTGAGTGTTTGATGTGGAGAAAATTGCGGATGCAGCAGGATGCTGCCATGAGGAGATGCTGGGATGGGGCTGCTCATGCTCAGAAAGGGAAGGCCTGGGGGATACAAAGTCTGTAAGCGCCGGTTCAGAGAAGAGGGAACCATTTCCTCGGTGATGTCCAGTGACAGGACAGGAGACACAGACTGAAATGTGGAAAATTCCATTAAATCATAGGAAGGAAATTCACTGTTAGAGTAGTGAAGTACAGGAACAGGTTGTTCACAGTAGCTGTGGCATCTCCATCCTTGGAGACCTTCAAACCCAAGTGGACACGGTGCTGGGAAATTTGACTCTGCTTGAGACATGCTGTGATTCTGTGACTGTCATATCTTGTGATTTAATGGAAAAAGCTCCAGCAATATCATTGTCATGTCTGAAAGTGGGTAACTCACACTGAGAAGATCCTTTCCATCTAAAAAAAATACAGTAGTTTTTCTATGTAATAAAATATATTGTCTTTCCTAGAGCCCCAATGCCAATGAACAGTCATGTTTCAGCTGATTAGGCAGTTTATGTGAGAGGTGACATAATTTGAGTCAATTCTCTCACTCAGACAGGTTTTTCCACCTGGGAAGCCCATTGCCAGCAGGTGGCAACCATGCTAAAGCAAAATTCCTGGAGAAGTTTTGCCTGGAACAATATGTTCTCCTTCATTGTTCTTCCACCGTTTGCACCTTTGATACGGAGAAGGCAATGGAGTGATCTTGTGTCCACACATCTGTTTTTTGTTTTCTATAAATGAAATTGCCATTGTCAGTTTTGTTGTCGGGGTGCTCAGGGCGATTCAGTGCTCTGAGAATTCTCATCTGGGGGCTCCAACCCACACTCACCCATTGCTCTGAGAGCCCATTTAATCTGAGAACTGCAGTCTCCTCTCGTTTTGTGTTACCTGTCCTGTGTTTTCCTGGGGGAGTTTGGACAGGTGAGAGCAGAGCTTGCTACCTGGGACTGGGAGAAAGCTTGAAAGAAATGTTTTAGCTAAAACAGCCTTCCTAAAACCAGTAACATACAAACTTTGCAGTGCTAAAAGGTGTGAGAATGAGATTTCCAGGCTTTCGATATGAAGTTTCTCATCTCCAGACTCTCCCAATCAAATTCTGGTTCTGTTCAAGTATTTTGACTATCTATCTGTGAAAGAAGGAACTTTATAGTTGCAGTGCTCAGTAGTTTTTTCTCATGGCTTACTAAACACCTTAATTTTGTTACAAACCTACCATGTTTTATTTTATAATAGGCAAAATGCAATATATATAGCAAAGACATGGCATAAGTAGCATAAATTTTCTCTTGTGAAAGAAGGACCAGTCTCTTTTTTCCCCCATGAGGTTTATTTCATTACTCACTCTTAAATAAATATGTATTTGACACTTAACAGGAACAACTAGTTCAAAATAATTTCTAGCACAAATTCTCACAGTTGTCATAGTATTTGTATGGTGTGCTGTTTAGCACTATTTTTGAGACTCAAATCTTCCTTTTGGTCTAAATTTAACAAGTCAGAAAAGAGGAAATTTGTGGTGGGGTGGAAGGTGGACATCTATCAAAATCAAAAGAAAGCCATAACATACAGGAACATACATTAACATGAAAATAGTTTCTTTTCTATTCCAAATACTCATCCTCTGCTTTATTGATGTTTCATTGAAAGTGCTCATTAGCTCTGCTCTATTAAACAATCCTCCCTAATAACACAGTGACAAAGAACTGAGCACCGCACTTATCTGGAAATTGGTCTCCAGCCTGTCTGTGCTGTACAGCAGATGGCAATAAAGGACCACTCTGTGGCAGAAATACACCCCTGAAAAGTAAATGTTCTGTCCTTAATAATTCAGAGGGTGAAATTAAAAATTGGTGTATAGAAATGCAACTCTGAGGAGCTGGTAGGAGCAAAGAGGGGAAATACAGGAGTTGCAAGTGGGCAGGACAAAGCCTGTTGCTGATAAGGATTACAAACAGACCAGACATTACGTGTAAACGAAAGAAAGGACATTGTGCATTCACTGGCTGCCCCTTCACTCTGCAAAGTTGCCCCTGAAAAGCCCTGGAAGGGCAGGGACCTGCCAGCCCCAACCCCCTGTTCAAGAAGTTCTGCATTCCAGCAACTTCCGGAAACTTTTCCGGAAGCTGTCATCCAGGAAAGCGTACAAGAAAGGATTCAAGCATGAATTGGCATAGCTTAGGCTGGTGATGAAGTAGGATATCCCAATGACCATGGAAGTCTGGGGTAAGTCAGTGGTCAAAGCCACGATGGTGGCCAAGTGGAAGGGGGTCCAACAGAAGAGGAACACAGCCAGAACTATGAAGACCATAATGGTGACTTTCTTCTTGGCTTTGTCCAGGGCTCTGGCATTGGAGTTCAAGTGCATGTTCCTCAGCTTGTAGAGCATCATGGTGTAGAGGATGCAGATGGTGGATACTGGAATGGCAAAGCCAAGGATGAGGGTGTAGATCCTGCTGGCTTTGAACCAAAACCTCTCAGGCTTGGGGAAATTGAGACCACAACTCTTGATCTCCAGGTCGTCAGTGTAGACATTGGCAAAGATGATGAAAGGGAGGACTATGATGGTGACCAGGATCCAGATGCACAGGCTGATAATCCTGGCCGCTCGGTACGTGCGGTGGGGCATCCTCTTGGACCTGACTGTAGCCAGCACCACCAGGTACCTGTCTATGCTCATCACTGTCAGGAAATAAATGCTGGAGAAGATGTTGTAGTGATCTATGGACAAGATGACCTTGCAAAGGACTTCTCCGAAGGGCCAGTAGCGGAGGAGGTGCTCCACAATATTGATGGGCAAGACAAGGGTGAACAAGTCATCAGCGATAGCGAGGTTCAGGATGAACATGTTGGTCACAGTCTTCATCTTGGGGGCCTTGAGGATCACATAGATGACAGCAGTGTTGCCTGTGAGCCCCACAGCACAGATCACAGAGTAGATCACAGGCAGGACAACGTAGAAATCAGGTGCCTGCTCTTGGAGGGTGAAGTTGAACCTCATGCTGTTTTCTAGGTAGCAGCTGTTGCCTGTGTTGCTGCAGGAGCTGTTCAGATCATCCCAAAAGGAGATGTTCCCCATGCCTATTGGTCACAGACCACCCTCAGATGCCACTGAAAGCCTCACTAACCCAGAAGTGAGAGTTTTTTTGTTTGGTTGGGTTTTTTCCCCCCTCCTGTGAGAAGCAGCTGTTAGCTCATTTAGATTCAGCTTATTTTCAAAGATGAACTGTGAGGCTTCATGGACCATCTAACTTACCTCTCCTCACTGTTGGAGAAGCTAGATTTTGAAGTGATGAGAGGAGGACAAAAAATGTTTGGAAGACATAAGGCTCCATGAACCAAGGAAACAAGAGAATTATGACTTTCTAAATAAGTCAAAGAACTCTTCTTTCCGACAGCATTCTGGTGAGCTTTCCCTTTTCTTTGCTGGGGGAGTTGAGTGGCTCCCGTTCAGCTGTCTGCAGTGAGAGTTCTGGGGCTGGCAGGAACAAGGAGGCAGAAGGGGGAATTTTGTGCCTGCCTGGCTGTTCACAGCCCTTGGAGGACCTGAGGGGTGGCTGCTGTTTCAGTGGCACAGTGCTCGCTTTCCATGCCGGAGCAGAAGCGTTCCAGTGGTTAATTAGTGTCTGCCTTTGTGTCGGAGTTCAGGCTCTTCATGGATTGGGATTTCACAAACAATGAAGTTTCTGGCACTGCTACTCCCCACTCCCAGAGTCCCCTAGCAAAAGAAGGAGGGGGAAAAATAATTCAGGGAGTATTTATGAAATTAATGGTTAAAGGGAATTACCCTGCAATCAAAGTAGACCTTTAAGCAAGGGTGGGCTATGAACTTATTCCCTATGAAAACCACCCCCAGTACAAACTGGCAGCACCCCAAATTTGGCACAGATGGATAGACAAACCTGTGAATCTTAGAAGTTCAGGATTAATCAGGGAAGAGGGAGAAAAGTACTCTGAAAGCGAATCCACTTTAGAGACACAGCAAGAATCATCCCATACGTAGCAGTTACCGCATCCGTCACTATTACCTGACCCATACTTCCAAGAATTCCTCCACAGGGAATGAACAAGCAACCGACCCCTACCCCCACCGTGAAGATCAAAGGTTTGGCAAGCGGTTCTGCAAAGAGAAGTGCCTCACTTCTCTTGCCGTTTGTTGTTGCACAGAAATAAAAAGTGAGTGGGACTGCCGGCGGTGGGGATGGAGGGCTGAATTGTCCCTTACCTGGGAAGCGGCTCCGCTGCCTCCTCCAGCACCTGCTGCTTGCACTGGTGAGCCTCTTCCCTCTAATCCGAATTGGAGGAGGGTCTCTGGGTTGCTGACGTACCGGGATTTGCAATCAGATCAACATGATGCTTCTGTGTGTGCGCGTTGCATGTCTGAGCAATTAGCACTTGCTCAGACCAGCGAAGGGGGGGAAACAAAGGTTTTTCTCTCTGCAGGGTTATTAAAATAGTAAATACGGTGGATGTTCCCTTCAGGAATGAGGGAGATGTGGAGGGACACAGGCAGCACCCAGGACTGGCTGGATGAGGGATGCGTGAATCGGTGGGAAGCGGGGGGGTTAAACTGCTTCAATGGGGAACAGTGGCTGGTTTTAAGAAAGGGAGTAGGAGGAGGGTGAGCAACACTACAGTGTGCAAAATAAACAAATAAACTGACATACCTTGCCAGATCTGTGCTGTTTTCAGCTGCTCTGGGGGAGTTTGGCCGGGTTTCTCCAGATGGGTCTCTGATCCAGCTTTGGAAATTCAATGAAATCCTTCAGATGTGCATCAGGAGGTGCAGGAGTCCCATGAAGCTTGCTGGAAATGCACCCCAGGTTATAGAGCAAGAATGTAAGATCACTTTACCAGCATGTCTCTAAAGAAAAAAAATAAAACGGAAATCAAGAGTATTTTGATTCTCCTTTAGTCTTTTAAATGTTTCCTGACCTTTGTTTCAAAACAAGGCAAGGGAAAACACAGGCATCCATCACTGCCGTGCCTGGCTGTGTGCATTAAACCAGGAGGGCCAGCTCATAGATCTGAGCCATGTAGCCAAGAGCTGTGTTTGACTTTACTCCCCTTCTTTGGGTGTTTTTATATTCTTCTGGCAAGATTATTGTGCACCAGTAGCTGGGTGGGAGTAAAACATTTCACTGCACTTCTGAAGGCCACGGCTATAACTGACTTTTCAGCAGATGGGATTTTTTTTAAGCCCAATGTATAACTCTTCAAGATATTTTCTGTATCTTGACCAAAATCTAACCAGACATTGGGCTTAAGGAAAATTAAACAGGAATTATACTGTCCAATTATATTGCATAGGAATTATATGAATGATACTTCTACAGATTAAACACCTCCAGAGCTTTCCTCTTGCCTGTTTTGGGAAAGCTGGTGTGGTTTATAAGGAGTTGTAAATGAAGCAAGGCATTTGTAGGTCTGCAGGGGGAAGGCAGTTTCCAGGAATTGCTGTTGTCTTTTTCAGAGAAGAACATACAGGAAGGCAGAAAAATTCAGGAGAATGTGATGTTACATTTGCTGATCTGTAATTATTCCCTGGGACAAAAGGGTTTGAAAGCATTTTTCATCCACAGTCCTTTGAGGCTTTCTGTTTTTCAGCACAAAGTATATCTCTGGGATAGCTTAAAAGCTGTTCTTCCTCTTCCCAGACTATATTATCTTGGAATTAGCATCATGCTGCCATGGCCAGGGGTTGTGTGATGGGTGCTGTGTGTTTTAGGGGCTGTGGTGAGGGGCTGGGAGCTGAAGGGGCTGAGGTACTGATGATGCTCCCTTGTGCTTTACCCTCTGCCTTACTCCTCATTATCTGTAGTGAACATGCTCTCCGTGCCTTGGTTAGGATGTACTTGATTAAAATAACTGTCAGAGATTAGATGGAGACTAATTAAATCTCATTGCCTGGTGTGGGTAGAGGGGCTTTTGCTTAGATACCCCAAATTGCTGGCACCTGCTTTCAGAACTCCTTCCCTGGTTCTCCAATAAAACCTGTTTGCTTTGGGGAGAACAATTGCCAACAGATCTAAATTCATGTAGGAAATTGCTTTGCAGTAGGAACTGTTCTTCCAACAGAGTAAATATTTTTTCTGTGTGTCTCTGGGCCCATCCAGGGCCAGAGGCTGTGCACAGAGGAAACAGATCCGTGTATATTGGTGTGATGGGGAGTTCTTGGAGAGAAGGCTGAGAGAATGCTTTATTCTTCTTGTCTTCTCTGGCTGGGCATCCCTTGCTTATAAATGTTACAGTGACATAAAGCCCTGAAAATCAAGCACTGGTTTGAAGATGCTGCTACAAAGGACATGAGTTGTCTTTTCCCTCAGAGCTGCTTGGACCTACTTTTGTGCCAACAGCTCCATCATCAGCACAGTGCAACAGGAACAAAGGTTTTATTCCTGGCAAATCCGTGCCATGGAGATGGACTTTGCCTCTTGAAGCCCATGCTCACACTGTGCAGCCTGGGTCAGCTGTGCAAACAAAGAAAAGGCAGTGTTTTAGGGAGGTGAAACCCCTGGCAATGCTAAATGGGGGGTTCTTTATCGCCTTCATAAAGCTGATGTGCTGCTGGCTCCAGACAAAGGCCATCCACCATTTTGGGGTTATGGAGAACCTGTTTTGTTGGGCTCCTGCTGCAGTCAAGGAGTCAAGTTCATCTCAAGGACACAGATATACAATCAATAACCTGTTTACCAAAACAAAATGTTCTTGGCTGGCTGTCTTGCAGTCACTGGTTATTAAGGTGATTTATCTGTATGATGTGTTCAGGCTTTCAAAAGCATTGCAGGTTAATAATAGAATCAAGGAGTAGTTTGGGTGGGAAGGGACCTTTAAAGGTCATCTAGTCCAGCCCCGCTGCAATGAGCACAGACATCGTCAACCAGATCAGATTGCTCAGAACTGAACCATCCAACCCGACCTCGAGTGCTCCCAGGGATGGGGCATCTAACACCTCTGGGTAACCTGTGGTAGTACCTCACCATCCTCATTGTTAAAAAAAACAAACCTTCTTTCTTATATCTAATTTAAATCCACCCTCCTTCTGTTTAAAACCATTCCTACTTGTCCTATCACAACAGGACCTGCTGTCCTGAGAAAGATCCAGAACTGATGATGTCAAATGGGCTGTAATTGCTCCTGGCAAGGTAAGTGTGCCTGCTCAGGCTACTTGCAGGATAACATTCACCCACAAGCTGGGACATTCTCCTGCTTCCCCCCAAAACCTTCCCAGCCTTACTGAGCCAGGCTGGCTTAGACAGATGATGGTGCTCACCATGTGGGACACCTCAGGGAGCCAGGCAAGAGCTGCAGGTGATGATTTTTTCTGAGGGGAGAATGCAGGGCAAATGTCTCCATCGGTAAACTGCTGAATTGTGGGCAAAGAAAATGCTTTTGAGTGGTGATAATTGTCATGGATCTGGGGGCTGGCCACACATCCTGCCCACCTGAAGGCTGCAGTGAAGACAAAGGGGTACAGGAAGCGATTTAAGGAAAATGGGAGTAATGAGTCTATAAACGGCCTGGTTTTGTCAAGGAAAGTACATATCAGTAACTGTCCAGTCTGCCTCTGCAGGGCAGCCATTGACACAAACACCCTGGTAGCAATTTCCTCAGAGCAGCTGTGATGGGGAATAAAAGCTGTAGAGCCAGGAGCTGGTGGGTGGCTGACTGAAGCTGTTTGGTCCCTGAAAGCCAAGAAGGAGGTTGGGAGGCTCCTGCAGTGGGTCAGCCCTCATTCCCAGTGCTTCTTGGAGACACTGGCTCTTCTTCCACACCTTCCCCAGCCCCGTGGTGCTGGCTGGGGCCTCCCAGAGGTGCCAGCAGCCATGGAGGGTGGCTGGCATTGCAAGAGGCTGCCTGGCTCCCAGCAGGAGCTGTGCTGTCAGATGAGTTAATTAAGAGAGCTCTGGTAGAGTACTCATGACAGTGGGAGCAAGGACACGGTGCCAGTCTTGCTGCAATTAATACAGATCTGTGAGAATTTAGAGTCAGGCAGAACGCTGCTTTAAACACCCTCATTTCCTCTCCCACTCCCTGCTGGTCTGGCTTCAAGCAGCCTTATTCCAGAGAGAAATTAAA